ATTGCGGTTTGGAGGGATTTCAAACTGATATACATTTTGGAATATATATGGCTGCACTATCTTGAGCACTTGATGTCTGAGTGATTCACACGATGCTTACAATCCAATGCTGGCAACCAGAATCGGTCAATTCATGGCTCAGTGAAAACGCACACCGACGACTCTGTTTTGTTTGCTGCACATGCGAAATGAATGGTAAAATTAATTTAAATGAAATATATCATTAAATTAATTTATTATTAATTATTTTTTTCCCATTATAGGCTATGTCTCTTGGACGTGAGTAGAGCCCGATATAGCTGTTTGTTGAGACGCACCTGCGGAGTCAAGACCACCAAAAAGAGGCGCAACAGTTCGTTGACAACCGTGCTCAACACTTTGTAGTATGTTTGTTCAATCATTTTATTTTGTAAGTTATTCTTTTTATTGAATTGAATATGATGATTTCTTTTTTCATTTTCAGAAGACTTATAATAGCCGATTGAGGGAGAGATATGGAAACGATGCTTCGACCCATTCGAAATTCGATCAGAATTTGTAGATGAAGGTTAGATTGTCTGGTGGACCCGATAAAAATCGGGTTTACGGACTCTCCAACACTACAGTCAAGAACTTGCAGACGACCCATAGTGTTTCAATTATTAGGAGCTCCCAATCACCTTAATTTTTTTTTTATTTCCTAGCTTATTTTATATATAACTTATGTATTTGTAATTCTTCTTAGCCTATATAATTTAGTATAGTTTATTTTTTTTTTAATTTTTTTTTATATTAGGCTTTGTTTCGTCGTATTTCAGTCTAAATATTATTAAAAAATAACTAAAATCTTAAATTTAAGAGTTTGTTTAGATATTTTGTCCTATTTAGCTAAGATCTAAGCACTAAAATAAAAATAAATATAAAATTCAAAAATATTCAAAACGTAAGCAAAAATAAAGAAAATATATAAATCAAGAGTCGGATAATGAAGCTAACACAATTTAGACAAGTTCAATGGATCGGATCACGAAGAGGTCATGGAAGAAGGCTTTGTTAAATATCAATAATAGACTTTATAATTAAAATCATAGACTCGGATCATGATTTATAATAAATTTATATTTATTTGCTAGATGTCCCAATTCATTGAATGGACTGCATAAGGATTCAAAGATCTTCTCCTGAATATTTGTGTGGATTGCGCTCGGTTAATTAATATTTCCAAAAAATATATTTTCTTATCTTTATTTTCTTTATTTTTTTTTCTTTCAAAAGAATAACTAAATAATAAATAATACACGTGAAACCAGCACGATTGTATATTAAAAAGAAAGAAATCGTTTCCAATTCACAGGGAAAGCAGATCTGTGGAATTTCGTGGCCCAGAAGAAATGGCAAACAAGACTCCCTTTTCGAATCTTCCTTACATCACTGTTTAGCTTACTAGAGAACTAGAAATTATACACAGCTGGACAGCCAGAAATCCTTCTCTCAAGAGCAACAAACAACAAAAATACGTATTGCTTGTTTGCAGCAGTGCAGTCATCTTGCAATATTTAGTTGCATTTTTTTCTCTCAACAATTATCCTCTTAACAACATCTTCTGAGGAAGCTTCTTCGTTTCATGAATTCTGAAGTTTCTTTCTTTCCACAAGCCGTATATATATATATATATAGTTTGCATTCCAAGCAAAGCCTAAGAAGAATGGAGTGGAGACAGTTCTCCTGCAAATTTCTTTTAGGCCAGCCAAACTCAATATATATCCCAGTCATCAACGCTTCTGGATATCACACACTTCTGAAGAGTGGCTTTCCAAATTTCCTTGGAGCAAGGAAAGATGAGCACGATCGATCTTACCCCTGAAGATTTGCAAATACAGATGGCATGGGGTTTTTTCTGCCATGCTACAAGTTTCTAGACTTGTTTGACAGTATGTTAGCCATGGAAAGAGGCGCAACCACGTATATATACCTTGTTTTGGTATTGTAATAACTGTTATTTTTCAAATTATTTTTAAAATTTATAAACAAATAGGCTTTTAGTATCAAGATGCCAATTGGTTGATATCTACTTTCTTGGGAATGCACAACCTGCATTTTCTGTCTAAAATAAATTTTAAACTAAAGGGTATAATTAAACAAAAAAAAAATGAAGTTTAGGGTGCCATGACACCTACAACTTGCTATAATAGGTCAGCCCTGGTCATGGTTGTCGACCTAGCCAAAGTCTCACTCAGAAAAGAGTCTGGAATCGTTGAGTCAACTCAATAATTTTTTTTAATACTAACAAAAAATTACCATCACTAGATATATGCTTCTTATCATACTCCCTTCTCTTGTGGAAAATCTAAAAAACCGTTGATTCCATGGGACTAGTTCTTAATTTTAATACCATGGCTTCCCGCTCCTGGTCTGCTGTCACCACAGAGAAAAGCTAGCAGGCCTTCAGAATTTGTAACGAAAATTCTAGTCAAAACTGGAGACTTGGAAGAGCTTGAACCACTTTTATAGCCAGGTCACATCAACACGCGAGCATGCCTTGCAGATTAGACACTTCAATCCCATGGCGAGCCACCATTTCTTTGAACCTATGGCTCCAGCTAGTGGAATTTGGGCGCAAGTGAAAAAGATAGCAGCCTTCACACGTCCCAATTCAATTCCCTGCACATGCATCTCGTATTCAATAACCCTAACCCTATCTACTGAATAACCAAAGACAACAAACATTGAAAAAAATAAACAGTGCCATATTGATTAAGACTTGAGAGCCTTCGGAATGAGGTGAGGCTGGCAAACCAACACTTCTGTTCAATGTTTTTACGCAATGATCCAATGCAATTCCTTCCTCGTAATTCCCCATTCGCATTTCCAAATAACCTCGTAAGTTGTATAAAAAGTGTTAGAAATGGCCAACATGTGCTATAACTACTATGATAGTGAGGTTCAAGATAATATAATGTGGGTTTTCGGGGAGCAAATGATCTGGTCCTTTTTTGGTTTTGAGTTTACAATATGCAGTCTTGTAGGAATTGCAATTCTAATGCAGTGTATTTGATAATGTGATATGATAGTAGCTGTGATTTAAAAAAATTATTTTGTAAAAATTATTTTTAATTAAGGTTAGTTTAATATGTTTATATGTTTGATTAAAATAATAGTTTAAATTAAAGTTAAATAAAAAATAATTTAACTAGTTAAGAATGTTTTTTTAATTGAGATTATAAAATAATCAAAAAGATATATATTAATATTGATATTTTTTAATTTAAATCTTGTATATTTAACCATTGTTATTATATCATGAAATAAATAATGCTTTAGATAAAATATTTTTTATAGTTTCATTAAAGTATCTATAATTCCATTACGTATGAAATTTATTTAACAAGGACTACAACTTTCAAGGTTTTTTAAGTGCGCAACAATATCAAGTAAAATATTATTAGGATTAAAATTTGGATTATGATCAAATTCTACAAATGCTATGCCATCATGTGATCTTCTTTTAATTTATATAGTGCCATTAAATAATGTTAAACACTAATTTTTTCAAATAAAACACAATTTAAAATATAAAAAATTGAATTCATTAAATAATATTAAACACTAATTTTTTCAAATAAAAAACAATTTAAAATATAAAAAATTGAACTTTTTTTACCATCCACGTGAACAATGCATTACTCTACATAGATGAAATATAAAAAAAGAAGTAGCTTGGAGATGCTTTTGATTAACCTACATTTTAAACAAAAAATATATTGGGTCGACAAATGTTTTATACTTTATCAAACATTTTTTTTTCTATGGTTTGTTTCAAAAGTAGAAGTAACCATAGAAACACTCTTTCTAGTTGGAAGCTAAAGACAATAAAAAAAAAAAAAATACGGGAATTTGTAAAAGAGGTTGTGGATGTAAATTCTAAGTTTACAAGTTTTATTTTTTGTAGAATAATAATAATATAGTTTGTTTTCTTATGAAGTTTACAAATTCTTAAATAGAACAGAAATTTTATCTCAAGTAGAAAACAAAAATAAATATATAAGATTACAAAAAAAAGAGAGTATAAAATAACAAGAAAAATCACAAAAACTGACAAAATTAAAGTTTTAAAGTGAAATTTTTAAAATCTAAAAATCCAATAATCAGAATAACAATTTTATAAATATATTTATTTAATCATTTATATAATCTATATTAAACATATTCTCATTTAATTATGATAAATCCACAAATCATCTATTATCATGTAAACCCAACTACATCAAGTTCCTTCAATTATACGAAGAGCAGGTTCAATGAACTCGCCTGATGGATCTCCTTTCTCACACTACTTTAAGCTGCAAAAAAAGGAATTGCAATACATTAGAATGAGAGATTGCAAGCACATGTGCAGATAGAATGACCAAAAATATAAGAACTTGGACATTAAAGCATTTGAGAGCAAGTTCTTGATAAAATGTTCATAAGTTCTTCTGTTCTAATATAAACTATATATGCTACATTGAACAGTAAATACATCTCTCCCTGTGGACGCTTATTGTTCAAATCAGGTCTCTAACTTGGCAAAGGGACCGTGCTAAACAACTCTCAAATTTGAACTTCAGATCAGATCACTACATGAAAAGAAAGCAGGAAATAGAAGATCCTTTTTTTGGTCTTTGAGGCCACAAATCCTCACTCTCTTCAACTTGTTTTATCATTTGAACATAGTTCCCCGCCCATCTGACTCACCGATTTGTTCTGCTTATTGAACAATATTAACAGGGAAAGTGGCTGTTGGTACATGGAGGGAGAGGGAGGGTGGCTGGTTGGGCTGTCAGAGAGAGGGGCTTGGTTTTTCTCAATTTCAGTTTCTGTATATATTTTCCTCTTATACCTTAATTTATTTTGTGATTTTCTGATTCAGTTTAGGTTTAGCTGAATCAGTTTCCGACCCTTTAAACTGAACCGAGGTTCTTTCGTGTATTTCAATCAATTTTTTCAATTTTCCCACTCGGTTATTTTTAACACACTTTATAATACGAAAACATATGATCTTTTATAGAACTCATAGCCTAAGAAGATGAACACACAAGAACAGGATACATAGAACGGGAAGCATCTCTTTAAAGAAAAAGTCCATCTCCGTGTATTGCACAGCTCCTTCAAACTCAATGATGGTATTGAGATCCACGAGTTCATTGTTTAGACACTGTTTGTGGTATCACGGTCAAACGGCCAAAACACGTTGACCTTTTCCCTTTCTTTTCTTCTCAGAGTGATGTCATTTTTAATTTTTTATAGAATTAAAAATGATAATAATTGAGCTGACCCATGACTTTGAACTTGCCCTGATCAACCCCCAACTCCGGTTTTGACAAAAAAGCTCCCAGACGTGAGGAACAGTTTTGACAAAAAAGCTCCCAGACGTGAGGTGTTATAAGAGCAACATGGAAACAATCCATAGCAGCAATTCTAGCAGCTATTAGTGTACAATCAAGAAGAGGAGACCTCAGCCTTCTATCTTCAAACCCAACTTTACATAAGGAAAGCAAAATCTTTGCATCAGATTCTAACTCCCCACCCTCACCCCCTCCAATTTATACATTTTCAGCATACAGTAAGGAAATTAAATGGACCTTGAATCTCGGAGTGTTCTTGATCCAACTAAGCTTGATCTCTACGTGGAAATCCAATAGTCATACGTTTGTGCCAAGGAAGGACTGCAATGCCATAAACAAAACAAATATGACAGTTAGCAATTATATGTAAAATAAAAACACCGAAACACACAAAAGCATAAGTCACATGCAACGAAGATAAAATACATAGAAGGCAATGAACACGTTATTTAATGTTATCGAGCTTTCAACACATGCAGAAGATTCTCTATCCATGACTAAACGAGTTTCCCTGAAACTACCCTAAAACCCATTTGCTTGTCGACCACAAACAAGCCAACTCATGCACCATGTTTCATCCAACTCTACAGTCGCTCCACCATTACATCTGTCAATTCAACATGGTGGCACATTTATCTCTAGTCAGCCAATGTAGAAGAAAGCATTCACACTACGTCACTAACTACAGATTTATTCCAATTGAAGGGGGAAGAGAAAAGTACATTTACAAGTATCAGGACAACCACAAAAGAGTGCCGAAGTATCAAAGTAATGGAGAAAGGAAAAGTTAAGAGAAGAAAAACAGGAGTTCAAATTGCGAAGCATGCACAATTTCTTCAGTTTCTTTTCAGTCTTTGGATACATGGGAAAATGGTTGAAACTTTCCCCTCCTGAAAGCTGTGCCCGATAAAAACTGTAAAGGTATACGCTAAAATCACTTTCAAAAGATGACCATGAAAGATGAAAAGCTCTGCCAGAACACAGACAAGGACAAACATTAACTACTCCACTTGACTGTCTTGACCAAAATATTTAAGTAAATACATGAACTACAAAAGGGCACATTATCATACAATTAACATCGAGTACTCTAGTTATCTATCTAAAAAATCCACTAGAAAAACAGCGTTTCAGGTCTCTATAAATCATGCATTTACCTTGACTCCTGGAGGAGAGTTTCCAGGCTTGGCTGTAATGGTGCTCCCAAAAACACCTACTCTGGTTGAAGAGTTTCCAGGATTAAAATTTGATTTCTTATCAGCAGGCTTTAATATTTGGAAAGAGCACATTAAAGTCTCATCCACACTCATCATAGCACCAGCATTATCAAACTCCCCGCAGTAATTAGGCGCTGAAAATATAGTTACGAGTTGTCGGTTGGCAAAGAACTCGTATCCATCCTCCACAACCTGCAACATACATTCAGGAAAGAATGAATCATAAAGTCTTAAAAATGATGAAAAAAGAATAAACTCTGTTATAACTGAAAACACTGAATAGAATGGACAACCAAAGACAATATCACAGTAAGTTATAAATTTATAGGGAAAATGTCAAAGGCCATTTTCTTGAGGTAAACAAAAAAATTCAAGGGCCAATTGGCTCAAAAACCACTCCAAACATACGTACAGTTCCCAAAAGAAAACTGAGCAATTCAATAAAGGATAAAAGTGCGGCTCCAGATTGTTAATTCATAACCTGGTGGGCACGGCAAATGAGATCCAAATCCTGCTTCTGAAGAAACTCTGCCACCTTGTCAGGACCAAATGTGTATGAAACTCCCCTGTCATTCATCCCCCAACCCTGAACATCTTTACTAGGATCTGACCAGAGAAGATCACAGAGTAAACCTGAGTCAGGTACATCAGTTGGGCGCTGTAAGTTTCGAATCTGTTCCAAATTATTTAGCTCCGGAGACAATCCACCATGCATGCAGAGAATCTTCTCATCAATTAGTGCAGCCAGAGGTAGGCAATTAAAACAATCAATAAATGCCTTCCATATCCTAACATTAAACCTTCTCTTACACTCATCATAAAAACCATATATGCGGTTTATTGAAGCACATTCATGGTTTCCCCTCAAGAGGAAAAAGTTTTCTGGATATTTTATCTTATAAGCAAGGAGAAGACATATTGTCTCCAGGCTTTGCTTGCCTCGATCCACATAGTCCCCCAAAAATAGGTAGTTTGCTTCTGGAGGGAAACCACCATATTCAAATAGCCTTAGAAGATCAGAATATTGACCATGGATATCACCTGCATGTTACAAGCATATTCCAACAACAGTAGAAAATTCCTTAGTAAGAAAGGGGAGAAAAAAAAAATCTAGTGATACATAAAGATGCCAATTCTTTCCTATTTTATAATATTAACTACATTGATTGTTCTCAACTAATCAGCAGACCACATCAAGTCCGTCAACACACACCATCATACTTTTTAAATCAATGACTTCAAAACAACATGAGAGTACTGCATGTAAAAATCCATCACCAATGCATCATCCAGCAAAGAATATATGGACATTTGATCATGCACAAGCACGTAAACCATCGAAGTAATGGCCTTGAGGATATGTTTGATACAAGAGTATTGAGGACAAGATTACCATTCTAATAACTAAGTTCGTTAGTTCACTTTTGGAGAGATGAAAGGCTACATCATTTTTGTAGCCATGGCCAAACATAAATAAATGAGGTTTTCTAGAAAATAAATATACATCATTTTCAAGAAAATATTCAAGTGGATTGCTGCAAATGGAAAACACCTAGAGCTTCTCACTACATGAGAATTGACTTTCAAAAGAGACTTTGCAAAGAAACTAGGATTTATGAGGAAAGATTGCATCTAAGAGAATTAAGGACAAATTTCCTGAGCAAATGTTGCTGAATATCCAACACACTCATCAAGAGAGCAAGTTTAATGGTTAGTTTAATAAGTTTGAAACCCGAGTATTTGAGAGAAATACATGATTCAAGGGATCAATACAAAGCATCATTTAAACTTTGTTCAGATTAGAACATGCAACTAAGGAAAACAAAATACTGTGCTATCAAAATAATTATTTTGAAAATTCTACTAACTGCTTAGAGAATCTCGAATAAAATAAAAAAGACACAAGTACACTAAGATCAGAACACAAGCAGTTTCCAATCTCCTTGTGCAATTTGTACTTGCAATTTTGAGGTCAAATATAAAAAATATTAATAAAAAAATATACAATTCATATTTTGGAAGAATTAAACCATTTACTTTGATAATAACTTGACAATGAAAAGCAGACAATAATGTTTCTTAGACATCTAATAAACCATAAACCTCAAAGACATTTAAAAATACCAAAAGGATAGATCAGGAAATGATGATTAGCATTAAATGGCCATAGTAGTGATCATGCAGGTGTTTTATTAGGGCATGACTAGCCTGCAATCAAAATCCTGTGCAAGTTCTGCCATGCAGTGTCAATAGGAATACTAACACGCACATAACCAAGCCAAGTGCATGGAAGAAACAAAAAGGAAAGGCACAAAAAACAACTCCATAGCAATCTTTTCCCAGCGTGCATGAGCAAAAACATGTAAAAGGATATGTGAACCCTCAACAGAACAGGAGAGAGATTCAATACAAGAAAATAGATCAGCATCAATAGAAATAACAAAGAAAAGCAATAATCTGCAACTCAAATAAAATTCATTGGATCAGCAAACATTTTTTGGGAATGTAACAAAAACCCACATGAAGGATCCTCGGACACTTCACAACAGGAGAACACAAACACGCAATTGTTGCCAATTATCAAAGAAGAGAGCGCTTAGTGCACCCAACCAACCAGACATTGCAATGTCTAAAACACAGTTTTCTTAAACATTTCTTCATGGAAAAATGAGATTTTGCTGATATACAGAAAATGTTACGCATAACTTAGTTACGAGGGTCAATAATTAGCAGGCCTCAATATTTGGTAATTGTGACAAGATTATGCATATTTCATGAAAAAGGAATCACACAGCAGGCCAGAATTTGTGAGATCAGATTCTTCAAGTAACTTTATTTTTCTTTGGTACAATGCCACATAACCTTAATGAACTATAACATGTATTTTGTTTTAGTTCTTGATTCAAGTGAATTACTCTCAAGACATTTGAGAACTCCTAATCCTGATGCATAAAGATAGCCAAACTGCAAATACATGATCTCTTGGGAAGTTCTGGATATGCATGCCAAGTTCAGGGGTTGCAATTTAAATTCAATCAATCATGAATTCATTGAAAACAATTAAACTTCAATGCAAGCAGTTGCACTATTTCCCTGGCAAGTCAAAATTCAATGTTGAACATTCAATACAGAGGGCATAAATGGACAAACATAAAAAAAATGCAAACCCATCACGTGCCTTGGTTCAATTTAATCCCTTTGTAATGCACATAGAAAAAACGAGAAGACAAATTTCCATAAATAAATGAAATGCTTTCAGATGAAAAAAGTAATAAAATGTATCAATAGTCAATTTGACACCCGTGATAAGTTCATGAAATGCAAACTTCAGTTCACAATCTTGACACAGTTTGCGAATAAGCACATACAAACATACAAAACACATAAAATCAGTAAGATTCATCTATCAATCAAAATCAAACAAGACAAATGAATTCTCCAGAACCAATACATGCACAAGAAGATAAGTAACCAACATGGCAATGAAATTGTGCCCGAAACATTAAAAAACGATAAAAATTAATCAAATAAGAGCAGCATGCCAAGCGAAGATAGCATAAAATACAATGAAACTCTATGGGTTTGTCCAACTACAGACAAGGATCATTTAAATATAAAACGCAATCAACAAGCAAGCAAGCCCAATCAAGCCAAAAAACCAGAAGACGTTGACATCATAAAAAGATAGCTGCACCAAAATATAGACTTGGATACTGTTATGAAGCAATAAACCACTGCTAAATCACAGGCAAGTCACAACTTTCAATTTCAGGTAACACAAACCCAAAACAACTCTCCAAGGCTCCACCAAAAGACAACCACAAATCACAAAAAAGCACCTCAATGAAGCAATCCATCAAATCCAAGAACCACAAACTAGTAAACACCAAATGGGGTTACCATAATCCATGTAAAATTTAAACCTTTCATCTAAACAAAACCGTAAGTCCCTACAAACACTTTATAATAAGCAATAAAATCACAACTACGACACAAAAGAATCCTACAAGACACACAAAACCAACAAAATGATGTTCATAAAAGACGCTCCAAATCTTAATAGGGTCATCAAAGACACAATCTTTACTTAAGAAAAAACATGGTAAGCAACTAAACACCAATCCTTAAAAAAAAAAGTAATGGGAACAAAAACAAGTAATGGGAAAAAAAAACCCTCCAAGCCTAAAATAATAAACAAAGAGTAAAGCATAAAAGACCATAAAAATTTACATGGGTTGTTAAAATAAAAATAAAAACATGGGACATTCTTAAAATGTTAGAAAACACAAAGAAAAGCAAATCCAGGAAGAAAAGAAATACCACAAATCTTGATGGGTGCTTCAAGCTCCAACAAATTAGGCTGGCGCAAGAAAATCTCTCTAGACACCACACAAAGTTGCCGGATCTCTGACTCTGATAACTGAACTTGCTTCCCAGGTTTCCCTCTAACCTCTAATAACCTCTCGATTATATCATCAAGAACTGCTTGCTCCATCTTTTCTTCTTTTCTCGAAAAAAAAAAGGTACTCTTTTCCACTACGAATCAAGATTTTGACGCCAAAAAGTCAATGGTTGTGATTCTTGAGAGATGGAGAGAAGGAAGGAGGAGATGGAGGGGATAGAGAGTATAGGCATAATTGCATGATTGTCTTTGGGGGATGGCCAGGAATGGTGGACGGTGACGTTTTATCAATAGAAGGGTGTCGTTTATATGGAGTAGGGAGAATTTGAGTCTTTTGGACGGAGATTTGTGGAGCGATAGAGAGAAATGGGCTGACCTAGACTGATGGGAGAAGGCAGCGAGTGTCCGGTAAATTTCATAGGGGGGAAAATCTTGTCATTGGGATTGAGACGCAGTGTTTTTCCTTCCTCTCTGATTGTTATCTATATAGAAAAGTCATAAGTTCAGAATATGATGATAGCTACATAAAGTGTTCTGAATGAGACGCCTTACCTAATGAAATTTGAAATTTTTACTAGAAAGTAATAGTTTACAGTGCTATGCATTTGCTTGAATAAAAAAAAAATTGAAGGTAAAAGAAGATGTTGATATAACAAGAAACTATTTGCTATTACTTAGTTGGATAAATTAATCTTGAAATCTAATTTTTTTAATCTAAATAATTTAAAAATAAACTGTGTGTAAGTTGTTTTTATAGGAGGATATAACTGCTATAATTTAAAAAGGTTATTAATGAAAATAAGTTATGAGCTCGATAAAAAGATAAACTTGTTTTGTGACAATAAGATTGTAATTGATATCTCATGAAATTATATTTAGTATGATAGAATAAAATATGTAGAAGTAGACAAATATTTCATTAAACAAAATTTTTTAAAAAAATTATTTGTTTCTTGTTTGTTAAATTAAAAGATTGGCTAACAAATGTACTACAAAAATAATTTCTAGTAGGATTTTTCATGAATTCTTTGACAAGTTAGGTATTGAAGATACATGTATACACCAAATTATAGGGAAGTGTTAACATAAGTGTTATATTAAAATAGGAACACCAATTGGATATATCAAATCCCTTGATTTAAGGTTCAATCTCTTGTACTTTTGCCATGTACATTGGATTAGTTAAAACAAATCTTTAAGAGATCTCTTCTCTATATCTCTATATAGACTTTAATTGAAATAATGAAAGATGATGAATAGAGAGATTAAAGTTTCTTTTCCAAAATTCTAATACACATTAGGAAAGTTAAACTTAAAAAAGATTTTATGGAATCATTATTAAGGGTGAAGTGAAAAATTAAGGACAAGATGATGATGGCAAAAGGATTCACAATCAACTTGAACTAATCAAGTTGTAAAGATTAAGGAGTTCTACATTATTATCTAGGCAAAATCCAAGAATTATAAAGTTTGAGAGAGGAAATTAGATTTATAGCTTATTAATGTGCGAAGAAGAGAAAATCAAGGGCCAAGAAAAGCTAAGAGAAATTGATTGCAACTGGTGATGAATATAAAATGGGGAGAATTAGTTAAAGTTTTAAGACAAGGAAGAAGGAACTCATTAAAGGAATGAGAGAAAAAGTTCAAAGTTTTTATAAGCTACATCTTTCTTGTTCTTTGTATTTTTAAGAGGATCGAAGAAGAAAGGAAAAATTGAAGTTATTGTTAAAAACATTGTAATTGGCAATATAATGATGACAAATGAAATGAAATATACACAACTATATCAATATATATTAAGATCAAAATGATCAAGCTCTATACTTTGACGAATATCAATTTTAAGGATATATATTAAAAAAACAATAATAAAAAAGTTGTTATGTGAATATAGAATTGAATGGAATTTATTTTTTAAATAAATATTTTTATCGATCCATATTAATCTTACTTTTCAACTCAGTCTATATTTTACCTTAAAATAACTTCAAATCAAGTTTTATAACTTTAATTTCATAAATAATTACTTAGAGGATTCCAAAATAATTTTGAGTTCCGCCGTTAAGAATATCCACACCTTGCTTGCTAAAGAAAGTCTTTAGCTATAATAATGTGGTTTTTTTTCCCATAACATTCATGTTTTCTAAAGGATTTCTCATGCAGCTTTATGAACAATTCACAAATAATGGCTTAAGGGTGCTCCAAATTAATTTTGAATTCAACCATTGATAACATCCATACCTTGCTCTCTAAATAGAGTAATTAGATATAATACGAGTTAATATTGTTTTTCTCTATAATATTTATATTTTTTAAAGAACTTTCTATTATAGCTTCATGAACAGTGCTCCTTATATATAACAAGCATTGCTAAACTCTTTAAATTGGTTTGAGATAACAAAAAAAGAAAATAAAGAATATGAAGGAAAGGAAAGATTGAAAGGTGGGTTGTTCTTCATCTCTAATATTCATCTTTAGTTTCAAATCATCTTTCTATTCTCTATATTTCAAGGCCTTTTCCTTATAATTTAATATCATCATCAATTCCTAATATGTAATCCCTCATATAAAATTTATATGGTGTTTGTAAACTATTGAAAGTCTCACTTGATAATAAAATAGATTAAATAAAAAAAGAAGAAGAAAAGGTAGTACTGGATAATTTAAAAGGAAATTTTATGAAAAAAAACTTATATATATAATATTTTAAAAGAAGGCTAAGATGAGGTATCTGGTTAAATGAAAAACATATAAACTAGACATAATGATATTGTTGTAAATATTAATAGAATATAAATATGTGACCCATTTATTTTTTAAATAAATATTTTTATCGACCTAGATTAACCTTACTTTTCAACTCATAGTCTATATTTTACCTTAAAATAACCTCAAATCAAGTTTCATAACTTTAATTTCATAAACAATTACTTAGAGGATTCCAAAATAATTTGAGTTCCGCCGTTGAGAGTATCCACACCTTGCTTGCTAAAGAAAGTCTTTAGCTATAATAATGTGGTTTTTTTTCCCATAACATTCATGTTTTCTAAAGGATTTCTCATGCAGCTTTATGAACAATTCACAAATAATGGCTTAAGGGTGCTCCAAATTAATTTTGAATTCAACCATTGATAACATCCATACCTTGCTCTCTAAATAGAGTAATTAGATATAATACGAGTTAATATTGTTTTTCTCTATAATATTTATATTTTTTAAAGAACTTTCTATTATAGCTTCATGAACAGTGCTCCTTATATATAACAAGCATTGCTAAACTCTTTAAATTGGTTTGAGATAACAAAAAAAGAAAATAAAGAATATGAAGGAAAGGAAAGATTGAAAGGTGGGTTGTTCTTCATCTCTAATATTCATCTTTAGTTTCAAATCATCTTTCTATTCTCTATATTTCAAGGCCTTTTCCTTATAATTTAATATCATCATCAATTCCTAATATGTAAACCTTCATATAAAATTTATATTGTGTTTGTAAACTATTGAAAGTCTAACTTGATAATGAAATAGGTTAAATAAAAAAAAGAAGAAGAAAAAAGTAAAGAGTAAAGAGGAATCGAGTTTTTTTTTTGTAAAATGTACCTTGAATTAGTGTTGCTAAGAGGCAAAGAGCTCCTTTACCATGATTGATTGAAGTTTTATTATAATTTTAAGCATGAGTGTTATTGATTGTATTATGTAAACTTAGGGTTATAATGATTGGTTGACTAGAATGATGATTTTGGTTTATTTTTGTGTTCTTAATTATAAATAACTAATGGTTAAAATTAATTAATGAATTTTTTTTTGAAAGGAAACCATTTTCCCTTGAAGTTAGAATTAACCAAGACTAAGAAAAATAGGAATTGATTTTTTTATTTAATTGTTGTGATATTCAAAATAAATTGCATCAAATGAAGTGTAAAATTAGTGGATAATAAGAAGTTAACACAAAAATTAAAGAAAACTCATGTCTCCCATTAATGGTAGTTTGACCAAGTGTTGAAATAAGAGAGTTTTAATTGCTTAATTAAAATTGATGTGTGAAATATGTTTGATTGTGTTATATAACATGTTATATGATTTCATACGAAGGAAGTTCTATGGAATTTAAAAAGGAACCTTTGGTTCTTAAATGAATGATTTTGGCTGAAATGTAGAAGAAAAATAAATTGTTATTTTAAACTTTCATGAGAATTGAGTTGAATTGTGAATATATGATGTATTTAAATGATTGTAATAAGAAAAACTATAAAAAACTAGAATGGAAACTCAAGGGATTAACCCTTAAAGTTTTGGCCAACCTAAAGAAAAAAAAAAGGTGGACTTGTGTTCCAAGTGTTTTTTTTTTTTAAAAAAATCTTTATGTTAGGGGATGGGAGAGGCAAAGTTGTTATATATGCTTTTTTATTGCTATTGAATTGATAGTTTTGACTATTGAACCTTTGATAATGAATATAAACCTAATAAATATATATGTATGTTTGATTTCTGCAAAGAAGAGAAATGTGAAGTTTTGTGATAAGAAATATGTGTTATGCTTGAAAAGAAATTCTCCTTTTCTCTTGATATATTTTCTATGTATTAACTTTATAAAATGGTGAAAATATATATACAGACTTGATTTTGATATATTGTAACTCACTTAAATCTATTGCAACAAACCTTAACCGCTATAAATAACTTAATTAACTTGAACTATTAATCAGCAGCTGCAGGTTTGATCTCTATCATATCGATAATATTATGTATATTCCAACAAAAGATTTGAGAATATTAATTGAATAAGAATTTGAAAAAAATTTATGATATATTGAATTATATCTTTAATGGTATAAGGAAGGTTGCCAAAACATGACAATAGCAAGGAGCAACAACTTGTGCATTGACTCTAAGTAGATACCCTGCACTTTTCTATTTAGAAGATTTCTCTAAGTTTTTTGAATTGTAAATTCTTAAACATTTGTGTTTATTAATAAAAATGCTAATACCAAAGAAAAATTAATTTGATTAGTTGTTTTGAGTGGAATTAGTGATATCAATGTAATTGACTATCGAGATATTTAATTAACTAATTATCTCAGGTGAAGCTAATAATATTAATATAATTGATTACTATAATATTTAGTTTGACTAACTGTCCGGAGCTAAACATGACATATCAATATAATTAATTGCTAAGATATTTAACTTAAATGGTTATACTGGGTGAAACTAGTGATATCAATATAACTTAGCGCTATCATATTTAATTTTATTAGTTATCCAGGGTGGAGCTAATGATATCAAAGCGATTTAATTTTTAACACATTAATTTTTTTAAAATATTTTCTTTAAATATTTTGAAAAAGTAAAAACAAGTATGCCTCCAATGAATTCTAGATTTTTAAACTGTAATATCAATATCAAATAGCACACCCCTTCTCTTGATGTGCACAAATACACTCATGCAATTATTGTTTTTGCT